CCTAGGGCGGCAAAAATCCTTGCACCGGCCCTGGCTGGAGGGGGCTGTGTGAGCTGTGGCCGCACAGTGTCCCATGGTAGTTAGGGTGCCGTGCAGCCAGTACAGCTCACACAAGCAAACAGCTGATAAACTGGCAGCACGGAGGAAATGTGTATGTGTGACTGTCTGCCTGTGACTGTATGTGACTGTCTGCCTGTAACTGAGTGTGTGACTGTCTGTAACTGAGTGTGTGACTGTCTGTAAATGTGTGTGTGGGGCTGCAGGGATTTTTGTAGAAGGGGGCGGGGGTTTTGTATTGGGACAGGAGTCTTTATAAGGGGGGATAAGCAGGGGATTTGTGGAAGGGGGTTGCGGGGGTTTTGTAGACGGGGCAGTACAGGATTTGTAGAAGGGGCAGGACAGAGGTTTTGTAGGAGGGGTGGGGCAGGACAAGGGTTTTGTAGGAGGGGCTGACAGCGGTTTTGCAAAGTTTACAAATTGTAAAAAAAAAGAAAGAATACCTTTAAAAAAAATTTTCACAGGATCCGCCCCGGGTGCCAAATGCTCTAGGTACGCCCCCGGTAGTTCCGAATTTCCTCGTCTGACACTGTTCTGTATGCCTCAGCTGCCGTCCCAGTTAGCCGACCTGCTAAAATGGGTACCCACTCTTCTGGACTAATCTTATGCAGTGCACATAGTCTCTCAAAATCTTGGAGGAATGCGTCTATGTCCTCCACTGCCTCCACATACGTTTTAAAAGCTTGGTAAGGTATTTTTGTCTTACCTTCTGTGTTGGTAGTGGTTGTTGTGTTCCTCTCTGTGGTCTGTGATGGTCTTTGGCGTATTATAAATTCCTGCACTTCGGTCATAGTCCTGGAGATAATGTCAGCCATTTGGATTTTCTCCATAGAAGGCTAGCCTAAATTGTAGCTGCCTTTGAAATTCCTCTTGTTCAAATCCATCTGTTGAATTTCGCTGTTCAGGGGTTGCACTGCCATCGGTTCGGTATTCTGCCATGACCTCTGCAATAAGAGTTGCCTTTGTTTTGTTGCTTGCTGCAATACCTTTTGCTTCTAGGAGGTCTTTTAGCGTGGATCTTTTCATCTTAGCATAAACACTCTCCATCCGTATTCCATTAGTCCTTGTTCCTTTGTGAGTCTGGATCCCAGCGCTGCCAACCAATGTAGCGGAGAGCTGCTATTACACAGGTTATCTCCACTTAAGATCCCATTAAGGCTCAGGAACAAGTATTAGAAATCCATAAGGCAATAATTCCAGCAGGCAAAACAATCCAACAATATCCCAACAGCAATCAAAATGACTGGACGACACACAGCATCAGGAGCAGAACTGAACTTTTAATCACTTCACCTTCTTTTAAAGCATTCTCCCATGCAAGGGAGGGATTTACAATAATTATTACAGTAGCCAGTCATACATGAGTTGCCACCCACACATTCCCTCCCCTTAGCCTGACTCATAATCCCATTATGCAGGACACAAATTGCCTGGGTTTCTGGATGTACCCCTAAACATAGGGGTACCCCTTTAAATATTAGATCCCCTGGTAGCCCTGATCTGGGTGAAGAACATATCCAAAAATCACCCAGATCAGACCAGGAGTCCGGGAGACTTGTGGAAGTAGTACAAAGACCGACCGCACTCTAGGTAACAGCCAAAATTGGTTCCATGCATTTGGGCACTGCGGTTGGTCAAAGAAAAAGGAAATAAACTGCACAAATGACTTGGGCTATGGAGACTGGAGAGGATTCAAATGAATCCCCTTGTTCATGTGTTTCTGTCTACCGAAAGGGTAGCCGTTCGGTAGTTTCTACACGAATTTACGGGTAGTGTGGAGGTCTTTGCCGTCGAGTGTCTGGAACCCAAATCGGACACTCGGCTAGGCAAACACCACTGTTCGGGAGTTTTAAAATGGCCACCGCCACGTGTTTGTTTCCCGAATGGCGGCCACCCAGAGGACAAAACACACATTACACGAATCACCAATTACCTGTTTGCAACATTGTTGCGAACGGTAATTGGAGGCACACCTATTCCTGGGTGGTCTGGTTGTTCGGTAATTTTCATTCGTATGGAATACGGATGAAAACTAATGAACAAACATACGAATGCTACATACAATTTTAGTTATACATGAGAATACACACACGAATTGCACTTTTAACATAATCCTTGAGGACAGTCCAATGCCATCCGCTACAACAGGTATCAGTGAAATTCTGTAAATACCATTATACACTCGTGATACAGTGGCTATGAAGTGTGCTTGTCAGAACTCCTGACGCACGTTTCACCAATCTGGCTAGGTGGGTTAGCCGCATCATAAATAAACCAGGCTTAAGGTGAACCATTTATTATGGGGGTGGGACTGTGTTGTGCTTCCTGGCTGTGCCCGGTGGCTTTTTTGATCATAACCCTGATGTGATCCTTGCCATGTAGGTGAATGGTTGGGTTGCCTCGTGGGACTGCCATGGCGGTGAGCTTGGGGTAGTTTTTTTG